AAGGTTAGTAACTTTTTGATATTTTGAAGCTGGGCCCAGTTGTCAACATCAGTCATTGGATTATATATTGACAAAAACTATTGTATACTGAAGTAGACATCCCATCTATATGGACCAGCTGTAGCCAATTTTTTGTTGAAAAAGAACATAGTTATGTAAGCCACTCACAAAATGCGCTATAGTGACCAAAACTCTATTTCCTACCTTATTTTTTGTTGCTGGCCAAGTTTACGAGTCATAACAGTTGCTAGCTCACAATAAGTTTGAATTGGTAAAGAAGATTGTTTATTCAACAGAAATCTGTAATTTAGATCAGAACAATCTTTCGGCTATTTTGCTTTAAAATCTGGCAGCAAATTTTACATGCAATGGATTGTCTAGTTGTATTAATAGTCAAAAATACCAGTAGCATTTTAATATTTTCAATAAAGATTCAAGTCTTGAGGAATAGCTGGATAGCAGAGTGGATATAATGCTTGGCGAGGACGAGCAATTTAAAGGTTACTGTTGATTCAATACTGAAAAAAGTCAGAAACTTTTCGTTCAAAACGAGACCAGTGATTCCGATCATTGGGCTTTTAATATGTGGTTCAGCTTTTAATAAGTGTAGTCAGCAAAAAAGCTACACAAGAAACGTATCTTACTCCATTCTACACTCATCCTTCATTCTTAAAGTATATACGTTTGCATCTTCATCTCAATCGGTAATGTAAATAATAGCTGATCTTAGTCAGTGAAACAGCAAAAGTCATATCACCCCATTTTTGACTCGCTCTAAATTTGTATTCAGAATAAAATATTTGATGAAAATAATATTAAAATATTCAGTGAGTGATGTTTTAAGTGGATAAAGAAGTCAAGTGGCCAAATAAAGTACCTGTTAAGTTATGAGTACAAACCCATTCACTTATACACAGATATTGATTCAACTAATTAATAAACAATCTGAACCACTCAACACAGGAAGGAAGGGAATGGCTCAAACGTGAGAATGGCCCAACAATAATAAGATAAGACATGACTGGCTCAAGTTAGCACTCCTTGTCTCAGTTGTGACATAGCATGGCTCTCAATCACATCAAAGCCTGTTTGTGCTGTCCGTGTCGTTATTGTAAGAGTAAGGGCTACTCGGTATGGGATGCTACTCCTCACGAAACCAACATCTCTGTACAACCTACCTCAAGTGTTACATTCAGTGAGGATGGAAAATCTGGACAGAAACAGTTTGAGAAACAGTCTCCAAAGACCTCTGGGAGTCAGATTCAGAACTCAGGAGTACAAGATTCTAAGGGGGATTCGAAGGATTTGCCTCCACCACTACCCACAAGCCCCCCTCCCACAGAGGAGGAGGAACGTCCTTTTGTTGTGTTTTTACCTTTGAGTAAGTAATGACTGACGTTTTGCCAGAAAGCTTAAGAGAAATTAAAATTGCTTATAGCATATTTCATGAATAAAAGTAAAGTCTCTTTTTGACCCGAGCTCAAGTTTTACGATAGAAGCTGAAGTCGGAAAATGAGCGAGGGTTGAAAAGACATTTTTTGGCCATGTGTGAACTATATTTTTTGTCATATTGCAACATTACTCAACAAGCTAAGTTAGAAAACAAATTTCTTTTCATGTAAAGATTAGTACTCAAGACAACGTCGAACTTGTTTTCAATTTCGCTAATGCAAAGAAGCAGCTGTTCATATTATCGATGTGTAGAACTATTGAAAACAATGCAACAATAAGCTACAACCAATTAAATCCATCAATACATAATTTTGGGTACATGTGATTACTTAAAATCAAAGTTTACAACAGCTGACTTTTACTCCATAGGAACTAAAAGGGCTTTTTACTCACTAAGGAGTAAAAGAGCTTCTTTAGACCCCCAACACATGTATTAAAATTGGGTGTTTTTGCTGCAGTATGACAAAAATAATATTAGTCTTGAAAAATTATGTTGGTGCTCTTTTTCAAAAATAAATTACAAAAACTTTGTTTTTATTTGGCAATAATCACATGTTGGACTCGAGGTCTAATTTAATTAGCAATGTAAAGAAACAGTTTTTTTTTTTTAATTTTCTACATAGTTTTCCTATGTAGATAAGTAAACAAGCAAAGTAACCCGGCTACTTGCGGGAATTTACAAGAAGCGAGCAAAGTTTTCAATAATTTAAAGCATACTTTTCCCAATTCAAATAAATTGTTAAATTAAACAGCTGCTTTTGATTGAATTATATTTCTAACACACTGACACACCAGCATGCAAATTTTAAGGTGAAGATAAGTGAAGGAGGAAGTGTGGAATGGATGAGATGATAGCTTTTTGCTGACTAAGCTAAGTCAGTTCTTTAGCGAAGACCAATTACAATTACAGTATTATTTACAGTACAGACTAATTACAGTATAAATAGATTATGGGCACTACCAACATGTCAAGTTTTTTTGTTTTTATTTTTTTTTATTAATGTCATATTATTTTACAACATTTTAATATACAAAACTGATTAATATTCTAAGGAGGTTTCCAAGGAGTTAACTCCACCACTATCCACAAGCCCCCATTCCTCCCAGGACGAGGAGTTAAAATAATTTTTTTGGGAAATAAATTCAATAGTAATATGAAACTTTTGACAAACAAATAAACAATTGCAAAATAGGTAGTTAATTGCTAATTACACATTAGTATTTCAAACAATAGGAGTATAAATGTAGACCACGTTATCAGGGCTTATTGTTAAGGTACCATGTCATAACAGTGTCAGTAAGGTAGATAGCCTTGAGGTTGATATCAATGCCTCTGTGATTGCGGCCGTGAGTCACTGGTTGTTCTTGACACTGGTCTGGTTTGTCGCATCAAGCTATCAATGTTTAACTAATATTTATTTTCAGGTGAACACATTTGCTTTAACACGTTATCTACCAGTCGTCACACTCTGTATGAGTTGTCTTGTATTACCTGGTAGTGAATGTGTTAAAGAAACTCTTCTTTAAAATGTTGTCCTAGGTTCTGTTTACCAATCCAATTGAAAATACACAAAATGTTTGACCACACATGGATTCTAAAAGAAACAGCTGTTATCATTGTTAAGGAAGGTCATGTCATATTGGAGCAAATGTTATGTACAATGATTCCTGTGATCTGTTTTTTTTTCACATCACAATAATTCTTGTACTGTCTAATTTCATGGTGGAAGGAAATAACATAGGTGTGCTATTCCCACATATTCTGACGTCACTCGGATTGCAAACAAAAGATCACCTGATTGTAACTGTCAAATTAGTATGTATTTGTTTTGATTTGAGTGTTATTGTTTTTATAATAATAAAAACAATAACAACCAAATCAAAACAAATACATATACTAATTTGACAGTTACAATCAGGTGATCTTTTGTTTGCAATCCGAGTGACGTCAGAATATGTGGGAATAGCACACCTATGTTTTTTGCTTCCACCATGGTCTAATTTAAGATAACAATAAATGTAGACAATCAAATAAGTGTAGAAGGGATGTTTGGGGAGCTGGATGGAATAATGTCAGTAGGTACGGAGATGATGATAATAATAATTTGATGTAAAAATGTGACAATCAACCTTTTACTTTCCCTTCAATCTTTTTTTTTATCTTTTTTTTCCTGACCCCCTTCGGAAGTTAAATGACAACCACTAAAGATGATGCCTCTTCAAAAGTTTCACCTAATTAAGCTTAGATTATTAGGTTGTATCCAGCAGTAGTGGGAGGGACAAAAAAAGTATGATCTTGAGTTAGTTTACCTTTGTTGCATTCTGTATGATCCTTATCCTTAATAATACCACATGGACTTCAAGATTTTGGTCTCATTTCAGATTTCAGACCAGGTAGAACTTCAGTTTAATTATGTATATTACTAGCAGTAGCAGAGTACCCGTCCTTCGTACGGGGTTGGTTGGCGTATAAGTATAAAATGCTTATTGCAGTTATACGTACTTGTGCTTGCTTTACGTTTGAAATGGGGGAGGAAACGGTTTAATAAAAATTAGGTTCTTTTAATTTACGGTATGCTATAGTATAGCACATCTACCACAGCCATAATGTTGACCAACAACAATGTTGACTTGATCCAAACAATAAAAAAATAAATTACGGTATTAAAAATTCACAAAATATCATGAAATTAAAAACATAGTCTAAACATAACTGCAAACAATCCTACTTTGACAGTTCTCATTGTGTATCACAGTTATTGTATTAAATCAAATTATATTAGCTATTTTCATAAAAATGCAAACAAAAAATAATATAGTGCTGCATCCTGTTGGTAAATCACATAACTTTTTAATGCCTTTGGATATCATAGAACCAATTGTTTTAGTTGAAACAGCTGACAAAATTCTTCAATTCACTTTAAATATGAATACTCATAAGTTAACATGGGGAACTACAGATCCACTGGGGCAGAGCCCCGAAAGGATTGTTGAGATAAGAATATGCCTTTATATTAATCGGGAATGTGAGCTATCATCATGCCAAATTTCAGCCCAATCCGTCTAGTAGTTAATGCGTGATTGAACTTCAAATAAACAAACACACAAACTTTCACATTTATAATATTATAGGTCGGCCGCTTAGAAAACGACCTCCTCGTAGCATTGGTGCAAAAGAGAGATACCGAGCTGTGGGAGTGAGACAGATTATGGCTCTTCCCCCACTCCACTGCCGCCCAAACCTTCCCGAACACACGCCCCTTAAATTCAACTAAAATATTAATAGCAATTAAATTATACAGCTGATCAAAATGTAAACAAATACGCGGAGGGGTGGAACATACCCTCCCTCGCTGTTACCTCCCCTACATGCGCTAAAAATTTAGCGCAGGTCGCTTTCTAACCGGCCGACCTATAGTAAGATTATTTCCTCAAATGTTTTTTACAAGTTTCTTTATGGTGCAAAGGCATAACAGTTAACCTTATGACCCTTCTGTATGATACGGAGCTATTACAACATTATTCATTCGTTATATTCTTGTTCTCAGAGCCGCCCAGCTCAGAAGCAGAGGTGTTGAAGGTGAGAGAAGTAGACATGTGCTTCAACACCAACGGCGCTGATCACCACACTTACCGCTACGAGCTGATGACTCGTCCTGTCAACCCACAGTTGGTCGTCAGGCGAGGACAATCCTTCCAGGTGGACCTGGTTCTGAGTCGGGCATACAATCCTGCCATTGACGCCATATCTTTTGTCTTCACAGTCGCAGGTGAGTCTAATGGCATAGGAAGTCCTAGACACAGAAGAATATCATTTGAAGTTTACACCAATGTTTACGTCATACAAATGAAGGAATAGATGCTTCCATATTGTAAACATTCAAATTTGACATTGTAGATTAGCCAGAATTGCTGACATTTTATATAATAAATAGGTAATATTACGTTGTGTATCGCCAAGTGATTCCATAGAGTTGTTGAACTACCACAGCTCCAAAGCTCTTGATGGCTTCATTTTCAAGTTTCACGGACATTATAAAGCATGGCCAATCTGTGCTGTAAATCATTCCTTGTTGAAGAAGATCGTGGGAACTTAGACATGAATCATTAAGTGCTTCAAATCCATGGTAGTTCAACTAGCGTTGAAGGTTTGTAGCAATATATTAGGTAACATAACTTCTTGATTTACAGTATTTCACAAGTTATAGTTACAAAATGATTTTTCTAATGCTACTTATTATAACTAGTAGTAAATTCTGCCAAGGTTGAGCAGCTGAGTGAAATATCTTCCATACTGCAGATACATTATAACTTAGAGCACAGTGTTAGAGCACAAGGACTTAAGTAAAACCAGTAGATTTACAAAAATAAGAAAAACTTCACTCTGGCTCAAGAAACACAAAAATAATCACTAAAATTAAATATTTTACTGTCACTGACAGCATTTTTCTACCAAGATAGATTCGAGTTAGAGAAATCTCCAGTAGAGATAAATAGAAAAATAAATCTTTATATAGTCTGGGAAGTCTGGTAAAGTAAGACACATTCTCCATGATTTCCTTGCACATTTAGTTCCAGACTCACTTACTCAAACCAGAAAGGGAAAAAGTACAAAGAAATTATCACAAAATTTGTCTGAAAATGTATAGGTGTACGGCACGGTACTAAACCTAGAGAGGAGGACTACTAAACCTCTTAATGTAACATGATTTTTAGTCAACGTTTATTTTTATATTCTTACACAGGTCGTGTGTAGGGGTGTAGGTTACATTACTAAGAGAGTCTCTAGGAACTTGTTTTTTGAATGTTTATAATTTGATGCAGTTGTTTTCACAAGTATTGAGTTTGAATTCCGGATCCTGGCTAAAAATCCATTGAACTTGATCAGTACCAATGTGAGGCTGCACTTAAGTATACGTCCTACACTCATTTGAATGCAGAATATCGAAAAAATTATTTGATAAACCGATTATTTCTTTCGGTTAGATAGGTTAGGTTAACCTAACTTACCAAACTTGATGTATTAAATTAAATAATCGATATAGGTATCTTTAATAGGTACTTTCTTAGGCGACCATACAAAGTAGGTATTTTAAGCCAAGTATGAATGGAGATGAGAGTAGGATGAATATGGCGCAATCTTGTAGTCTTGTTAGTGACTAAGGCCGACATTCCTTAGACATGTTAATTAATAGCCCATACAGCCAATGGCAACTAAGGGACCTACAGTTTATAGTGGAACCCGAACCACATTTTTACCTTGGTTTATACGAATTGGTCTAATCATCAGGATAGTATTGCGGATAGTCGTAGTACTCACTCATGCGGACATTAATCCACACCAGGGAGTATCGCATCCACAGTGCATGCCTATAAATATCCACAATTCGTGACCTCCTAGTAGCTGGATTACAGGACGACGCCACCCGTCCCAGTCGATATTCATTCGAATGAGTGTAGGACGGATACTAAAGTGCAGCCCCAAAGTGGATAACAGAATCCTAATCGTTTACTCCCTTATTCCAACCAACATGAATATAACTTCTTATGACATACGGTAGTATACCAATTTCAATGTGTGTCTGTTCTTATAAAAACACCAGTCTTCCAAAAGTAGCATAATAAACAGTGACTCAAATTGCCTTGTTACAAATAAATTATTAAACTTTGGAAACCAAACCCTCATAAACAAACAATATAAAAGAACAATAACTGTGGTCATGTACTCTGATTTAGAAATAACATAACCATTAACACGTTTGTTATGAGTTGTTTATGCAAAACAATCAAGTCAACTGAAATCCACAAAAGCAAAACATGTAGCTGCCATAAATACTATTCTTGCTCTTGCAGCTGTACCACAAACTGTATACACAATAAACCACAGAGACTTGTCTGGGACTAAACAGTTCTATTAATGAATACTGTATGAATATGGCTACGCTTAGAGTACTATAAGAAATTCTAAATCTACCTATAGTACTGCATATATGCATTATGTACTATAAAGTAAATTTTTTTTTCAAAAAATTTTGCAGATTCAGGGAGTGTGATGCTATTGACATTATATTTTCTCCTTTAGTTTCTAAACTATGATAGTTAAATTCAGCAATTAATAGATTTGAAAAAAGTCCTTTCAATTCAGCTGGTATTACAGTATTATCAGTTGAGATGAGGACACAACCTAGAAACATATTTTAACCACAATATTAGTGAAGATTGAGCGAATTTTTGACTGAGCAGCACAAATTCCCATCTGCTCAATTTGTCTGTGTTAATTTTGATTCTAGTTTTAGAATCTATACGCTTTGGGAATGTGCTGCCCACTTCTATCAATATAGTAATAGTAACAACATTGTATAGCTTGGTAATTTTTATAATTTCTGTTCAGAGACGGATAAGCCCAGCTACGGCCATGGGACGCTGATGGTGGTTCCCTTGTTAGCCAAAGGATCTTCAACAGGAGAGAGCTGGACGGCTGTCCTGCAGAGGTCCTCAGAAAATGTGATAACCGTGCATGTAAGTATATTGTTCTTTCTTGATATTAAGGCCATAAAAGATGAATTTTGTTTCTAAAAGCGTTGGCAGATGTGTAACTATTATATGCAAAAGATAAAGATTAAAATGTTTCTATTTTGTGTCGTGTCCTCTTCCCATTGCAAAGCACGGGTACAACAGCTAGTATATTATAAGAGTATTAATAAGAGTATAAGAGTATTATATATTATAAGAGAGTAAGTTTTAAAATTACTCCAAGCACTACCTTATATGATTAAGTGTAGTTTTTATCTCACCAAGTGATGATATATTCATATTCAAGATGTCTTTATTAGTCTTAGGAAAAAGAGTAAATTAGCGATAACAGTATAGTTTTGCTTAACTTAAAACATAAACTAATAACTTGAAACATAAAAAATATTTATTGCTTTTGTACTTACTTGTACGGTACTATATTATTGAGCGAAGCTCACTTTCCCTCTCTTTGTAAGAGCATCAGAATGTAATGGCTTGACCAATTGATATGAAATTTGGCCAACAGTTAAAGAATACTGAGCGCAATGTTTATGGTAAAAATATTTGCAAATTTCCTTCTGGATTTTATTTTACGGGTCACACAATTTCGCTTGTTATTTTAATGGAAGTTGAAAGAAAAATTATATTGGGTTTATCTCGTTTCATTTAAATAAGATAAACACATGTTAATTGTTTGTAACTGTTTTGTTTACATTTCAATGTTTACTTTCATCCTAGGTTAAAGTTGGAATGTAACAGTTTATCAATGGAAGTGTAACAGTTTTGCTATATTTGTTCAATTATATCAATAATGCAAATATTGTAAGAGAGTGGCGTCGTGAACAAGAAGAACCAGATGAAGCAGTGGTGGAAGAAGCTGATAATGATAGGCAGTTAGCTAATCAATTCCAACATGAATTAGATGCACGCACTAAAATTTTACCTGCTTCTGGATCCACCATTTTCACTAGACCGGTTGATGTCAATTAACAGACACGGATCTTGGGCAAAGAAGAAAGAAGCTCTTGACCGTTTAAACGAAATGTCAAAACACATGTCTAATAACCTTTTATCAATTCTTATTCTTATTCTTAACTAAATAAATGAACTATCAGATAAATTATAAATGTCATTCTTTAGAACTTAAATAATATCGGGCAAACAAACGGTGAATCTGTTGAAAGGGAACATATTGTAGGTTGTTAGCTGCTTTAGCCATTGACAATCTTTAAATAATGCTTCGCTCATTTATGTCTAAATTGTAACGGCAGACCACCCTAGTATACCCATGGTGGAAGGAAAACAATTTTGATATACAAACTGGTGACAACTTTAACATGGGGATGAAATCTATTGTATCAAATCAATAGTCAGAGGTGAATCTATACAAATACTTTGGCCGAGTACAACAAGAACAGCTCTCATTTGTAAAACAATAGTAAATAGTGAGTTGGGTACCGGTAACAATCCTGAATAGAGGCGATAATATTATCTGGATATTTAGACTATATGAAAGAATTTTTATTTGAATCACCAAAGCTAAATAAAGTTGAAATCGCTATACCTATAACTTCTTAAATTAATCAGGTACCTAATTTGTTTCAGATCACACCGTCTGCCACATGTATCGTTAGTGCCTGGAAGATGGACATCGACACAAAACTGTTGAATGACGGAGCGATCAGTTACAGCTGCAAGACCAAAATTTACATTTTGTTCAACCCCTGGTGTAAAAGTAAGTTTAAAAGATCTTTACAATTATAAAATCCTTGTTACACTACATATTTAACTTCAATATACCCAATCATTTGTTTAAGAACTGAGTAAAACAAGTTGTTGCACAGTTCCATACTTAGAAAGTAGATTTTTGTTTTTCAAATCGGTTTGGTTCAGACTTTTGGGCTTGGATTTGGACACCTAACTGGTGTTGACTCACATTTTCATGAAGAATTGTTGCTTGTCCATAAAATCAAGTGAACTAAACAAGTCGTAACTAGTTGGTATGTCAAGCGACATTGTTCTATATTTAGTACAGCTCTGAAGTACCGTAGTGTAATTTAGGGTTTTGATATGTATCCATCTTTTTGCATAGCTTCTGTCGGTTCGACCTATTTTTGTTTTGGACAAGGTTCTAGTAGATTGAGTTAGAGAGGAGTCTGCTGTAAGCTTTGTTGGTTTGCTAAACGAAACCAACTCTCTTAAAAAAATCTTGAGGTTTTAGTACCGTGAATTATTCACTCACTGTGACTTTCTGCGAGTTTGAAATCTTGCTACTACTGTCCTGCTATACTCTGTTCACAAAATTTAGGCGGTTTGAGGAGAAGCAATTCCATCCCCGCCACTTAGCCCTAACTATGAAACAAGAGCCGAGAGCAGATATACTGATGTATAAACTAAAATATTGTAAAGGGGGAACCTAGGAAACCGCCAAAATTCTGTGAACAGACTATAATACCAATGAATACAAAACCAATAAGCGCAATGCCTTTGTTAAAAACTCAGTCTGGGAATATTTGAATTACGGATAGTTCCTGGTTGCTGACTATGGCTAGCTGAGTAAGCGAAAGTGGGACAAAGAATCGGCTTAAAGAGATAGATAGAGTAGCACGCCACCGCAAAGGCGATCATAGCGGTGGCCGCACAAAGCTCATTTTGATGGTAAAATAATCTGACTATTCTTCATAAGCATTTTGCTTCTTAAAGTGCTTGTATTCATTGATAACACCCAATCGACCTTACGACTGTTTACAGAGGACCAAGTGTATATGAAGGAGGAGGATCGTCGCAAGGAGTATGTCAAGATGGACACCGGCCTCATCTGGCGAGGCAGTCACAACCAGCTGCGGCCTTGTCCGTGGAACTTTGCCCAGTTTGAGAAAGACATCCTGGACTGTTCTCTCTACCTGGTGACTAAGATAGGCAAAGTCCCTCTGTCCAGTTGCAACGACCCTGTCAGGATATCTAGAGCACTGAGTGCAGCTGTGAGTACAAACAGTCGAGAAGGAGGATTCATTTTGGCTCTCGTTCATGAATCATTGTTGTTTGAGTGTTACAAGCTACAGTAAAATATGTTGCTTAGCTAAGTGGTTTTAGTACTCTCCTACAAATTGGAAGATTTAATCATTTTATCCTGAGAAAGGTCTTTTAGTGGACCTAGCTGTAAGATCGATGAAATTTTAATAAATTACCCTTGACTAATCTTTTTCCTGCAGTTACTTGACAAATTGTGCTTCCTTCCAGTGGCTTGGGTGGAAGACGACAACATTAGTGAGTTTAATAAGGAATGCACACAATATGAGTATAGAGGAGGACATAGATTTTCTTTATATTAATTTAAAAATTGACATATATTGTGTTGAAATACATTACGACAAAAGGGACTTGTAACTTAAAAATATTAATAGAGAAATAAAAAATATACCAGTTTCAGATGTTTCATCAGTATTGATCAAAGCTACAAAATACATCTAATTAAATTGTAATCTTACCTTTGACTCCATTCAGGTTCAAATACATAACATTGTCTGTCTGTCTCAATGTAATAGTTTACTGATGCTAAGATAACATACGTACAGACCCAGTTATTGTCAATTATCACAATTATATACGATGGGGACGCCACTATGTGCGTATTTCAACCCAAATATGAGTGAAGGATGGGTGTAGGATGAGTGGTGCGATCTTGTAGTCTTGTTAGTGACTCCAACATGTTCCTTAGAACCAAAAAAAATTGGGAACTTGTCAGATTTTTAAAAATTTGCATTAGTTCTTGGTTGTATGCAGACCTCATGTTTTTAATTTTCTGCTTCGTTTCTTGTAACCCTTATCCATCCTTACCCATTATCTTTTACAAGGTTGTCAATTGCTGTTTGTCACATTTGTTTGTTTTTGCAAGTAGGGCTTGTGAGATTCCACAAACATTCTTCATTAACGATACAACTCAACAAACTTTATGTTCCATCTTCTGTCCACTTCATGTTAAAATTTTATTTATATAAACTTTAAATTATCCAAAAGACGTATAATACTGCTGAAATGTGACTTGAGACAGCAGACTGAGGGTGGTGGGCGAAGGGAAAGTGCTCAAAATTGGTCGAGTGGCTGTCCACCGGCTGAAACTACTCGACTCGTCCGCCAGCTGGGTCTGGCACTCGACTCGCCTGTCATTAGACTAGTTAAATTGTCTACACTGGTCAAGTTCGCTGTAGAGAGCTAACTCGCCATTCTAACCGCCCTTCTACTCTAACTCGACCAATGTAAACAAGGCTTAAAAATGGTGTGAAGGGAGGAGACATGGTGTTAGAGAGGTCTCATGTTACCAATTTACACTCAGGTCAACTCACCCGATGACAACGGAGCCCTGATGGGCAACTGGACTGCCGAGTTTGACGGGGGAACTCCTCCCACCAAGTGGGTGGGCAGTGTCCGGATCTTGCAGAAGTTTTACAGCTCCAAGAAACCTGTAAAGTACGGCCAATGCTGGGTGTTTGCTGGAGTCCTCACCACAGGTAACTTAAATTTGGTAAAATATCGTACTTTTAAATATCTATGTAATATCATAGACAAATAGAATAAATATAGACCGTCAGCTGTGCGGTTGGCATAAGTTCCGGCGTCCACCGCTAGGTTTGTTGTGCAGTTACGGTGCCCACCGCTTTTTATTTATCAAATACTTCTGTTTTTCCTGACCTACGCTCAGGAAAAACCTTTGAATGGTAAAATAAACTCCATCATCTGTAAAACATATGTGTAAGATTTGGGAATAGTCATCGATAGAAGGTAATAAATTCAAATTGAAATTTATTTCACAAAAGAAACATTTTACAGCTAGATATATAGTACTGATTTATATTTCAAACTTAGATTTACAGTTTAAGATGGATTTACATGATTACTGGTACTGAAGCTACATGGGCGGTTTTAAAGTAAGGGCTGTTTTGGGGTATAAATCCGTAGTTTGATTGTGAGCCTCCTCACCACTTACTGCCGTAAATTGAGAACAGGTTGGGGCAATTTGTAGCTGACATGTACTGTGTGTTTTAGAATTTTTTCAAACCATCGAATCTCCCGTCGCGTGTGAGATAAGTGAAGTGAAAAATGTTAAACACACAGGGAAGTGCACATACCAGCTTCAGAGCTACAAATTGCGCCAACCTGTTCACAAATGAGTAACTGGCGAGAAGCTTCGTTCCAACGTACAAGCTAACTTTGGATTCATACGCAAAAACAGCCCTTACTTAAAAAACCGAAGCCACCCTTGTAGATTTAATCTATGTCTACGATCCAAAACAAAATACATTATGTAATGATTCAGGCTATTATATAATGTCAAATAAATAATTTGTTTTCTCCCAGCCTTTTTTGGAACCTATATTTTACAATATCTGTCCTGCTCTTGCTATGTTTAAATGGTATGTTTGTTTCCCTCAGTGTGTAGAGCTCTTGGCATCCCCTCCAGACCTATCACCACCTACTCCTCAGCCCATGACACGCAAAACAGTTTGACAGTAGACTACTTTGTGGATGAGAAAGGTGACATCATGGAAGAGCTAACCAGTGACTCTATTTGGTAAGTTTATGATCCTGAATTTAATTTGTTACTAGTAATAATGAAAGCACCTCATTGAAAGCTGTTGTTGTGCTAACCTTTGTTCAACTTTATATTATGCCTGTGACTTTTTCATGGGATGATTTAAAGGGATTCACAAGAATTTAAAAAGGACTTGAAATAATGTGAGATCACTGACAATATCCATAACCAAAAGATTTTTAGTAACAGGTATATGTACAAATTGAATCATAATGTTGGTCAATTACAGGCAAGCTTCTCAACTTTAAGTATAGTATATTCTAAACGATTATACAACACTGAATAATATCATGTAATACTGTCACAAAACATTCAACTTCAACACTTTTTCTCTGATAACAGAAGAAGGGAGAAGGGTTTTAAGTGCTCTTTTTTTCAATCCTTTTTATTTTCCTGAGAAGAAACTTTTAAGCGCCGTTGCTATTTGTCACTGTGTACCAATGGTGCCTTCTAGTTAGATTGTAACAGAACCAGATTTGGATTTTTTCTTCAACATTAATAAAATGTCTTAAGCATAGATAGCTGTACCAATTTACAATTAAAACAACTTACCAGCTTATGATTACATAGGGTACACTTAATCATTTAATGGTAAGTTGTTGATACCTCTCCAGGAACTTCCATGTGTGGAACGAGGTGTGGATGAGGCGGCCAGACCTTGACCCCGGGGACTATGATGGATGGAACGCCATCGACGCCACGCCACAGGAGATGAGCGAGGACATGTTCCGCTGCGGCCCTGCGTCAGTCAAGGTTCAGTTGTCTTGATGTGAATTTATGTAAAATGTTTCTTCATGAAAATGGTTTACCTTATACCAGTTAGTTACCTCTTGGACCTTTAAATCCTCGGTAGTTTTAACCGCACCAACAATCAGAGCTGGCCTTAGGTACGTGCCAAAGTTGCGGCCGCACAGGGGGCCATCTCGGGGATCTGCACTTGGTGCAAAATACCAAAACAATTCAAGAAGTCCTTGAACTCAAGGCTGTACCCAGCTTTGCCAGGCCCCAGTAAAGATAGTAGGCCGGGCCCCGCCCATCCTCTTAAGGGGCCCCAGGTAAAATTGTCCAGAGAAACAGGTCTGAGTACGGCCCTGCTTGAACTTTACGTCAATTATGAGGAAGAAAATAGGGGAGCATATATACTACCATTATACATTGATATTTTTGTTAGTTTTGTTTGTATACTACGTTTTTTGGTAGTAAGGGCCCTACTCTGAATGGGCCCCGCACCAACCAAGGCCTGCTCTGCCAAAAATACCTCTACCACTGTATTCTGTCTTCTGCTGCTCGCTGAAGTTTAAAGTCAAGTCCACAAATACACAGTTTTAAAGCATGTTTTATAAGTTGATTTGTTTTATATAAATGTGCAAACAAATTAACAGTGATTCCCAAACATGTTTTAACCAATCTAATGAAAGTTTTTATCTAATAGGGAGTAAAACGTGGTGAGGTTCTGAAACCTTACGACTCTGCATTCGTTTACGCTGAGGTGAACGCTGACAAAGTGTATTGGAGGTATTCTGGACCAACGCAGCCTCTGAAGCTACTGGGGAAAGATGTCCATGGGTATGCTATAATAAAACTATCGAATCCTTTGAAAACCATTTTTATTCGATATTCATATCCAAGCTTAAACGATGAGTTCTAAGTTGTGAAGTATTTCTCCTTGAAGAGAGTTTTTGTTACAAATTGAAGTTATGATTTATTTGTGTTTGTACAAAAAAGTGTTGAGTAAGTAAAATCACAGAAAACGTACTACTATAACCCAGAATGCCAACCGCATGGTAAAAAGCATTAAGTGTTTTGAGAGAGCTTTGCCTGTCAATCCGTAGGCAGCGCCACCAGCGTTGCTATGCTATTGCATGGCAACGCTGGTGGCGCTGCCTACGGATTGACAGGCAAAGCTCTCTCAAACCGCTTAATGCTTTTTACTATGCGGTTGGCATTCTGGGTTATAGTAGTACGTTTTCTGTGGTAAAATACTTGTAGGGACAGTATTGTTGAAATTTATATATAGATGGTACAGTACTAATTTGATCTCATAATATTACTTGTTCCGAAATGTTACAAAAATTATATCTATTGCTGCACCACATGATGCACTGCCTCTTTTTTGACAATATCAATGTACTGTATTTGTGTTTATACGATAATAAAGATTAATTTGAATTACCAACCGAGCTAATGACTCCCAAAATCTTCTGTTATTGTTATCTTTACTTTGCTTTCCACAACACTCACTTGAAGATAAAAATGAAATAACAAAAATTGTTTTGACATACAGTATTTTATTTTTTTTCCAGTATTGGTCAGAAGATAAGCACGAAAGCTGTTGGCAAGTGGACCATTGAAGACATCACACTTTCTTACAAGTTCCCAGAAAGTAAGTGAATTGTTGTTTGACTTGTGATAGATATCTAAACCAACTTGGTTCTTGTTTGTTTTTATAATACACTAGGAAAAACTAGCTTCTCCTTTTTACATAAAATTAAAAAAATAATAGTAAATGTAAATATAAGTTTGTGTTCCCTAAAGAAGCACAGTATGTTATTTAACATTTAAAAAATCTATTTATTGTAGGTATAGCACAAAATTTACCACTTTTTAACGCATAGGCTACAACAATAAATTTTTGTTTCGTCCTTTTTCGACAGAAAGCCAAGATGAGAGAGCAGCCATGTTGAAAGCTTTGAAACAAAGTGAAAGCCTGTTCAGCAGATACTACCTCAACGAAGAGTTCAACGATGTCAAATTTGATTTTAAACTTCGAGATGATATTGTGATAGGGTCACCATTCAGGTAAGTTGAAAGATAATTTATTTGTTATTCATAAAATTTGTAGATAAAGGATGTCCGGTGAATGAAAACACAATTCCTCACAATTAAAGGTTTGGCACTTCAGGATAAGGTAGAAACTTATACAATTGAATTTTAGGGGAATATCAATCAAAGCTACCCTAAGACAGAATTAACAGACTATTAACAGACTTTTACTCTACTTATGAAAACCTAGTTCGAGTTCACGGAAAACTTACATTGTTGCAACAATCCAAGCAATCACCAGTGATGACCAGTGTCTGCTGAAAACTCGTTAATATAAAAATTCTATAACCCTCAAAGAAGAAGGAAAGGTAGGAATGAAGAAAAAGCTTGCAACACAAGTGTAAGGTCGGAGGAATTGTAATTTAATAGAAAAATCGAATAAGAGGATGAATCGGTGATTTCAGCGCAGCTGTGGTGATTGCCAATAAGAGCAAGGACAAGGACTACACAATCTCTGTGATCCTGCGAGTGGACGCCGTCATGTACACTGGTAAGATTGAGGACTCTGTGAGGAAGGACAAGTTTGACATTCTTGTCAAGAAGAAATCAGGTAAGACATTGTTCAAAAATTAACATGTGTTTGTTTTATAAGCAAAAACCTTTTAAATATTTTGTAGAGTTTTCAAATTTTTGTTGTTTTTGTTTGGAGAAATTTCATTGGAAATATTCAGCTTTGGATCCAGGTCCCACTGGAAAAACAGGCCTCATGATGTCACGCTTGTGGATAGATGATTACGTGCCGGAAGCGACCGTGCCAGAAGCGGCCCAGCCAAAATCGTGCCAGAAGCGACCCTGGTAGTAGCGTGTGAGTGCCACTAGCGACCCATTGTTTGATAAAGGATTTTACAATGTTTTGTTCAAATCGGTGTTAATGGCTTATAAACAAATCCTATTCTTGTTATAGTAATATGTACCACCTGGAAGAGCCCAATATTCGCCTAAAGAGGTGTTTTAGCATCTCTAGTTCCCAGCTGCTAGCATAGACTCAAGTTATGTGTGGTAACTTAATCAATCAATTTATCTTGAATTTTTATCATTTTATAAGAGCCAATATAATCAATTAACTTATCTTTTCTTTATTTTTCAATTTATTATCTAAATATGTAAATATGAGATGGTGGATGTGTGTTTGTATACTACTTAATCGCACGGGAACCACTCAAAAGATCTAAATAAAACTTCACATGGAGGTAGTTTGTCAAATACAATCAAAATAATGTTTATTTCAGTAGGTAAAATACTATGTTACAATACTTTGTCAGTACAAATTTAATAATTATGCCTTAGTTATGTAATAACATACTGACATAGGCCTAGTCGTTAATTATGAAATCCCTCTCACATAGGCCCGTGCGTGAGAAGTTTCCTCTATCAGTAAATAAATATTCTAAATTGAAAAAAACAGATATTTATAAAACATGACATGACAGTTAATTGGTAATAATTTGGTTGAAAGAAAAAAATAAATAATAACTACAATAAAAAATAAAGGTATACAAAATACCGGGTATAAAGTTTTATTATTTGGATAGTTAGTGCAACTTGGACTAATAAAATCCAGACAAAATTCAAAAAGCAGAAACCATTCGAATCGTCAAACTTTGGATTTTTACTACTAGCCTGTTTGGAGATAGTAGCTTCTTAGAATTTAATGAAGTTGATGTGTTAACAATTATGTTTGGATTATTATTTGAAATAGATACTTGGACTCTTTCTTCAACGTCCTGTCCGTTGCAAAGCATACGAATAATTACAACAGCTTGTTTTCATTTAATTCTTTTTTTCTTTTTTCATTGCGTTTAAAATGGCCCTCCGATATTTATAAATAATTCCTCCCCTTCCCCCAAATTTACTGCATAATAGATAAGTAATTGTATTTCCAAATCTCGAAACTGAAATGAAATACTGAAATTGATATTTAGGAAATACACATTTCAGTTCAGAAAACACAGCCAATCAAATAGGGACTTTCTTAATAAAAAATCAACAGTCTGGCTACAAAGTTTTTTTTTATTTTTGTGACAATAACAGTTGGAGTTAAAAAATACCCCCGCCACAGCAAACCTGCAGACTAAGCGAATTTCCATTTGACTGATTGGATTTACACTGAAATGTCTACTTAAAAATATAACATTTATTCTTGATTTAAATAGAATTAGTTTAACAAGTAGGCCTACTTAGGTTTTCTGCATCAGGGAGGGTAAAACAGTTTTTTTTTTGTAAAATGTGAATAGTTAGTAAGAAATGAAAACATTTTCCAAATTTGATCAAAATATGTTCACAAACAAGCAAACTACAACAGTTTACTTATTCACCATAAGAATAACATGGGAATTTTAAATTTACAATTTTGTTGAATTTTCTCCGTAACCATTAGGCGCATAATAACGCTTCAATATACTAAATTATTTGTTTTTTTAAGCTCTACAAAATGGTTTGTAAAGAAATTGCTAAATTTTATGTTTTTCGGGTCAAAAATGGGAAAAACCTATTTTTACCCCATAAAATCCCCCGTAAACCCCCGTTCCCATGGTCCGATCATGCTGGATCGCGAACTCGTTCGAATAAACGTAAGTTTACACGTTTGTACAAAATTTCATCAAAATCGGATCATTTTTGCTCGAGTTATCGTGCTGACGGACACATATATATATATATAAATATATAAATATATAAATATATAAATATATAAATATATAAATATATATATATATATATGAATTTGAACGGATGGTGTTTTTGGCCTCTAGGGATCTCAAAACGAAAAAAAAAAAATCGGTCCCGCGTCCAGGTCTTACCATGAGTACTACGGTAATAGCTTATTCCCTATATGGGAAATTCGCTAAAACAAGATTTGTTTAAAGATGAATTAAGAACAATAAACTGTTTGATGATATAGCCTATGACAGATAATTAATAACAATGCAATAGATATTGACCTACACATAACAGTTCAAAAATATAAAAATAATTAATAAAAATAAGCTATATGGTTTAAATATTAACAAAAGAAATTATTTACAAATATACAAATCGTACGATTACCACAACATATAGCAGGTGCAAAACCTACAAAACATAGTAGTGACATAACCGGGATTATAGGCCTAACAAAAGCCACAATTTGTACAAGCGTTTTAAATTTTTTTGGGATTTTTTAGCTAAATCATCAGTTGGATAGATAGCTTCGTCATTATAAATATATACAGTATATACAATAAATTCCTACCCTTTTCTTGCCTTATATTTGGCCTATTATTTTTGAGTTAGTAGAGACGTCTTAGTCATTTTTTGTGATAGCAGGTCAACAACATCAGGGGTTGTAAGCTGCCGTGACTAGGAACCTCAAAATCTTCTTTATTTAGTTGTGCTAGAATACTCTTTTCCATATATGGAATAAGCTATTACCGTAGGTCTCATTGAAATGCCCCCAGTACACTCTCGCCGAGGCAAGGCGAGCGTTGGCGAGTGCGAGAGTGTACTCGGTGCGCTCGTCTTCTCTCGCCTCGACTCGGATCGCCTCGCCTCGCCTCGCCTAGCCTCGTGCTCGCCGGCGCTCCATCTGGAGTCGGTTTTTTGGCACGAGTCAAAGGACCCGAGACTGCACGAGTGGCGAGCGCTACTTCCACATCGATGTTTGCTTCCATTTCGACTGCGAGACAAAGCGAGAGTGTACACGGTTACCTCGCATAAGCTCTCGCCCGAATTACTCGGCGAACGCTTCGGCGAGGCGCCTCGGCGAGCGTCTCGGCGAGAGTGTACTGGGGGCAAAAGACCTAGACCCGGGACCTATTTCATTTTTCGTTTTGATGCCCCTAGAGAGCAAAAACACCATTCGTAAAAATATATGTAATTGGTAATTTAAGTAATTTAGTTATAATTCATTTCCATTCTAGCTCCTGAGCTGTTATATTAAATGTGATAAATAGGGTTACATACCTTATAATCTGACAAACAGCTCAAATAGTAGGTTGTTTACATGTTTCGGCTTGTATCGACCATTGTCAAAACATTGCAGTTGGAAAAAAATACTTATCATTGTTTACTAATGTCCATAAACTTTTACACACACATACACGAACGAATAAAAAAAATAGGCCTATTACAATAAATGCAACTAGCTGGAGTCTACAAACTGTTATAGTTTGCTTATTTTATTTATGGATATGTGTTGGTAAATGTATACTCGTATGAATTATACGATACAATTTACATAAAAAAACTATTTTTTCTTCCCCAAATGGGAATAAATTTAGTCTGCAGGACTGCTGCGGCAGGAGTATTTTGTTATGTATTTAATGTGACAGCAAATCGTTTTAATATGGTTTTACAGTGAAATTCTGTTTAGTTTTTGTTAAGAATATAAGTTGAATCGGCGTTAATTCATTACTCGCCTCCCGCACCAAATTCTTGGGTCGCTAGCGGCACGGTAGAAAATTGGTGGGTCGCTAGCGGCACGGGTCGCTTCTGGCACGACACCGGATAGATTCACTGCCATGTTCCATTATTTCTAGTTAAATAAGCTGGCTGTTCACGTCTGACAACTTAAGTACAACAATCCACAACTGTGACATAGTGTTGTGCTGCTTGCGCTGCAGCATGGCCTGTTTTTCTAGTGGGGCCTTGTTTCGGATTACCCCAGAAAACATGAAAAGTTTATTAAATAGAAATATCCTAAGTTCCCCCTTGCATTTCTCCTTCATCAGCCTCTTCAGCGGGTTCTCCTCTTTAGAACATCACAAAAAATATGATTTGTATTAATTTACAGTTCCTTTCTGAAGAGGGTTTTGTATTGAAAATTGACCCCAGAAGTTTTGTTTTAAGTCATCATACCCATAAAAAAAATATCTCAGTGATGTAATTGTTTTAATGTTTTAGACAAACAATCTCATTTTAAGTATAGTGTTTTGTTTGGGATAAAAAAGTGTGATAACGGGATATCTCATTTGTATTAAACACATCCTTTTCTAACAATATCTATATTTGCAGAGGAAGAAGTAAAGATTGACGTCACCTACAATGAATACAGAGATAAGCTGGTGGACCAAGGAGCCTTCAACATCGCCTGTCTGGCTACAGTGCACGACACCAACTACGAGTATTTCGCTCAGGATGACTTCAGAGTCAGAAAACCAGACATCAAGTTTAAGGTAAATATTATCCTTAGTGGCACTTTGAATTACCATGCTAAAGCTGTGGACTGTTACAATAAGAGTTAAACATAGTTGTTCTTTTGGGGCACCGACAGAGTGAGGCCATTAAATTCTGTTTTGATTCTTACACATGTCTTGTCTTGAATATCGTAATTAACTTAATGAAATAACTGTCACACTATGAGAAGGTTTTCATGAGAGAGGTTTACTCAACTAAGTTTTCTTTGACTACAAAAACTAGCAACAGCTATGAAAATGGTATGGCATCTTTTAGTATAGTCACATAAAAAAGAACTTTGTTCAATCAAGTAACATCTCAGAACTTTGGGATTTTCAATATACATGTCTTATTCAATTTTAAAACAAGTCAAAGTTGTTATAGACTTACAATGCTATAACTTCCTCATTCCAGATTGAAGGCAGTCCCACGGAAGGCAAGGAGTTTTCCGTCACAGCTTCATTTCACAATCCACTTCCCCATGCTCTCACCAGGGGGAGGTTTGTGGTTGAGGGTCCCAGCCTTGAGGCTCCCATCAAGATCAAACTTGAGAGGTATGTATAGACTTACGATGTTGTCTTGTCAATTGTCTTCTGAATGCATTTCTACGAAACACTGATCTACTCTCCTTGATCATTGATAAATGGTCTTTCATTTGATTCATCAAAACTCATCTTTGCATTAAAATATGATTTACCCTGATTCTTCAGGGTCGCCTCTTCTCTTATCTAATATTTACCATTCAACTACTAATTATTTTTGTAAACATCACATAAAAGTTTTTTTACATTGTTTGAAAAAGAAGATGTAAAATTAGATATGTCACTTTTAAATTATACGAAGAGGTTTTCAAATAATTGGCTTAATATACCGGGGATGTTCTACAAAGAGGTCCCCTTTTTGAATTAATATATTAGACGCACCGAGCACTCTACAAACCTGAAACTCAACAGTCCAAACATACACATATGTAAAAGTACCCTGAGTATCAATTAATTCTGACAAATTAGGACAAAATGACAAGTACGGGATATAATAAAAATAGTATCTTTTCGATACCCTAAAATACAATTGCCGATTTTGTTGTTGTTTTTATTTTGCCATTTTCTTTGGATCAGTCAGAATTAATTGAGACTTGGGGTCAACACCTTTACATATGTGTTAGTCACGACTGTAGGATTTCAAGTCTGTAGCGCACTCAATACGTCTGTCATATCAAATAAAAAATAGAGACCTCTGCATGGGACACCCGGTATAAAGTACTTAGCTAGAGTGTTATGCATAAAAAGGTTCTTTAGTTTGATTCTGCAAAGAGTTGATAATAATGGTGTGTATTGTGTATGCCTATTCCTTTTATAGTCTAAATATTTGTATATTTCCTTTATATACCATACATAATTTATCACCTTAGAACTTGGCAAAATAATTACGAGTGCATCTTGTGATGGTTCAACATAGAAGGCTTTTTTCATCAACGTTAGTTACAATAGTATTGGTGGGGACCATGGCCCCATGAATATAGCACTCACAAAGGAGTATAAAACTGGTATACATATAACTTCATACATTACAGTGTGTTTTGATTTGATTTGGTTTGGTCTGTCTGTAACTCTTTTGGGCTATCACTCATGATGGTCTCTACAATAAGATTGACCTTAGATAGTTAACTAGACCGCTTGAACCATTCTCTAACTATACTTATTGCCACATTGTTTTGATATAAAATACACAAATACAAATACCACAGCTCTCAAACAATTTTAATATCCTATGATTTACAGCCCTGTTGAGCCCAACGCAGACGCAAGTGTTACATTCAAGGGGAGGCCAAGGTTCCCAGGGAAGACTACGATCGCTGCCAAGTTTTACTCCAACGAGCTGGAGGATGTCGATGGGTTTACTGTGTTCATGGTGGGAGAGAAGCCTCCGGGAGATACGAACGGGATTAGTAACAACATCCCAACATAACCTAAGAAGAGGAGCTCACAGTATTGTGCTGAAGAAATCCCTAGGACAAGACGTCTGGAAATGATGTCACCTGGATTTACCAGTTGTCAAAAATAAATTTATTGACTTGTCATATCAGAATAACCTTAATAAAATCCTTACACCAATACTGGAACCCTATTTCAGTAAAGGTAAAATAATGACTTTTTTTAGTAGTAACTCTAAAATGTTTATTCCAAAAGGGTCACAGCTGACCGAACCGGTTTTATAAATAACATAAAACCATGTGTTTTAGCGAATTTCCCATATAGGGAATAAGCTATTACCGTAGTACTCATGGTAAGACCTGGACGCGGGACCGATTTTTTTTTTCATTTTGAGGTCCCTAGAGGCCAAAAACACCATCCGTTCAAATTCATATATATATATATATTTATATATTTATATATTTATATATTTATATATTTATATATATATATATATATGTGTCCGTCAGCACGATAACTCGAGCAAAAATGATCCGATTTTGATGAAATTTGGTACAAACGTGTAAACCTACGTTTATTCGAACGAGTTCGCGATCCAGCATGATCGGACCATGGGAACGGGTGTTTACGGGGGGTTTTATGGGGTAAAAATAGGTTTTTCCCATTTTTGACCCAAAAAACATAAAATTTAGCAATTTATTTTCAAACCATTTTGTAGAGCTTAAAAAAACAAATAATTTAGTATATTGAAGCGTTATTATGCGCCTAATGGTTACGGAGAAAATTCCAAAAAATTGTAAATTTAAAATTCCCATGTTATTCTTATGGAGAATAAGTAAACTGTTGTAGTTTGCTTGTTTATGAACATATTTTGATCAAATTTGGAAATTTTTTTTATTTCTTACTAACTATTAACATTTTACAAAAAAAAAACAGTTTTACCCTCCCTGATGCAGCAAACCTAAGTACTTGTTAAACTAATTCTATTTAAATCGGGAATAAATGTTATATTTTTAAGTAGACATTTCAGTGTAAATCCAATCAGTCAAATAGAAATTCGCTTAGTCTGCAGGTTTGCTGCGGCGGGGGTATTTTTTATATTCAGATGTACGTTATTGATGTTGTTGTCTTCATCTCTTGTCCATTGAAAAATTGTTGTGGCGAAAGACTCATTGGTAAGCTAGAGGTCAGTGGTGACCATAGTGAAAATGAAAATGGTTGTCATCGAATCAACAAGTATAGTTTATTAACCCAGGTCCTTACCATTATGAGCCAATGTTTTCAGTATTTAGCAGTAAAAATGTAGCCTAGCTTATGTTCATTCAACAATAAAATTAACTAGACCTATCATACTTGTATACTTAGTGCCATAATTAGAATTGTCTTAATCATTGCATTTTTGAACTTCATTAATACATTTTCTTCTGTTGTATGCCTGTCATTCATTTTTATTTTCAAATAATAAATAGTGCCTTATGGCCTTACTTTGCCATCACATTTTATATATTCACTAAACCATTATGTTAGTTTTTAATGTATTTACAAAATGTATAAGTTTGTATTTGTTATTAAATGAATAAAAATAACTATGAATATGTTAATACTTATTATTGTACCTTTGTGTTATTTTTTACAGCTTTACGTATGCACCCCAGTTTGTTATTAATTTTTAGTTTACTTGTTTCCTTAGTTGTCTTAGTCCTTTACTTGTTATTTTACATCAAGTATAATACGATATTGTATACATCCGTAGTAGTTAACTTTGTATAGTTAGTTTTACTACATCTGCCATTCATTAGCTTTAGCTATTTTTTTTAGCTTTTAACTTATTTGCGTCCATAATTGTTTAAATAAAGAGCAATATATTTGAACAATAATTCATATTAATTCAGTTTATTTTAATAATTCTTCTTATGCTATTAATAGTTAAAAATTCCTATAAATTGAGTTTATTTTTAGCTAGTAAAGTCGTTGTTTTGTAATTCAATTTCATTAAACACACAGTTTAAAGCTATTTACGCTTGAGTTTGTTTCCCCTAAAACATCGTATTAACAAAATTTTCTATTTTGTCTAATAGTTATGATAATAATGTCTGCAATATTAAGTTTAGCATTACCAAAACTGTACTTGCATTACATATTTTATGGATTTTTGTAAGTGTAATTAAAATAATAATCATAACTAGTTTTTTTTATCCTCCATCAGACCATTTAGAAGTTAATCACAGAAGGCAAACTAAATTTGTATTGATTCTCATTTAACTATCCAAAGGTATTTTTTTTACCATTTAGTATTAGAAATATTCTCATATAGGCCCTAGATCAGAAAAATAAAGGGAGTGATTTTGTTTGGTGTAGTGTAGTTTGTCAAGCTCTAATGTTAACTTGGAAGGTTCAAATCAGGAAATCTCCAACAGGGGTATTTTTTTTTTTGTTTCCAAGCAAACTAATAAACTACTAACAGAACCAAGATTGTGTGTAAAGACCTATAAAGTTAAACAGTCATATTTCAGAAAGTGCTACTGTACCACAAGTAACCAAAAGTTTAATATTAATTTAACGACCATTAAATTTAAATTTTTTATGGTGAAATAATTTTTTTTTAGGGTGAGGAGGGAAAATGATTTTACGCACACAGGTAGCCAGCCTGTAGTGTGAGACTGAGACTCCTGAGTTTATCAGACTACTCACTAAAAAACCCCCTCTTCTCTGTTGGACACAGACCTGGAATTGTTTGTCACATTACATCAAGTCAGGCCAACATGTGACCTAAGCCCACAGGGCTTGCACCGTTTCTGGCATTATTTTTTTTAGAAATAATTGAAATAATAGAACTCTCCTTACAATAAGAAAAACAAATAGATGATTATGCTATGAAAGATTGTGCATTTATTCATTGTGACTCTAATAATACGAGGCATGTTTTTAAAGTAAGTACCGTTTTTAAACTTCTCCGTTCCAGCGCTGCGATTGGCATTTTGGACATTTGCGCTGTATATGTGCATCTATTGGCAAGCCCTAGCCGGAAATTCGACAACAATCGGCCGTGTTTACATCCGGTATCGAGCATTCAAAATGGTGCCGCCAATTGAGACTGCCGCCGACTGTGAAGTGCGCGCTGTAATTAGATTTTTATGTTCTAAAGGTGTGAAAGCCATTGAAATTTGTCAACAGCTTAGTGAGGTGTATGGCGAGAACATTTATGAGTGACGGAATGGTACAAAAGTGGGTAAGGGCATCTAAAGACGGCCCCACCAACGTTCATGATGAGCAACGCACTCGGTACTGGGGACAGTGACGCTGCCCAGTGCGTTGCTCATGATGGACGTTGGTGGGACCGTCTTTAGATGCCCTTCTGTGTTCGCTGGCCCTTACCCACCCATCACTCATAAATGTTCTTGCCATACACCTCACTAATCTTTCGATAAATTTCAATGGCTTTCACACCTTTAGCACTTAAAACTCTAAGGCCAGGCGCACACAGGCGATTTTGAGTCGCGCAACAGTTGCCCGACTAATCGGGGGACTGTTGCGCGACTCACTCGGAGACTCTGAAGTCTAGCGACAGTTGAGCTGGAGTGCGCACACAGGCAACTTTTTAGTCGTGAATCTAGTCTTGAGACGTGTTGGAAATACATTCGTTACAGCGTTCCGAATGGATTTCAATGATACAGCCGTAGTATGTGCTTTGTTGCTGAAGTTTCGCGCAAGAAAGAAAAAGAGAAGATACTGGGTTCATCCCATATATAGTGAGCGACTTGTGAAAGGACAGTTCCATTTTGTACAATGACTTAAGAGAACACCCAGAGAAGTTTTTCAAAAATTCAAGAATGAGTGTCGGGAGTTTTGATGAACTATTAACACTTGTGAGATCAGCAACTTCGTATCAACCTCTTCTAAACTTCATCAATTAATTGATCAACATCCTCATCACGCACACTCATACTTGTAATTTTCTAAAAACTTCACACACACAAAAAGTGAGCAAACACTAGTGACAGTTCTGGCCACGAGTAGTTGAACTCCTGGGGTGAGACTGAGCGACACAGCGACTATTTAGTTGCATGTGTGCGCATCTACACTCGTTTCAATGGATACCAAACCTGGAGCGATAGTCCCGCAACAATTCAGTCGCAGAGCAGTCGCTGGCAAATTGGGTCCGGGAACATCGGTTGCAACAGTTGCGCGACTGTCCCCAGACTGTTTTCTTCGTGTGCGCACTCCAATTTAAAACAATGTTGAACATTTTAGTCGGGCAACTGTTGCGCGACTCAAAATCGCCTGTGTGCGCCTGGCCTAATTACAGCGCGCACTTCACAGTCGGCGGCAGTCTCAATTGGCAGCACCATTTTGAATGCTCGATACCGGATGTAAACACGGCCGATTTTTGTCGAATTTCCGGCTAGGGCTTGCCAATAGATGCACATATACAGCGAAAGTGTACAAAATGCCAATCGCAGCACTGCAACGGAGAAATTTAAAAACGGTACTTACTTAAAAAACATGCCTCGTATTCAAACCAACTGAAACGCTTAATAAATCACTAGGTGTTTAAGCTAAACTTAGCAAAAACTGGTCTATGCATATAAGTAATTAAAAATTAACCTATTTTTACAGGTTATATTATAAAAAAATTCTCAATAGCAAAATGAGTTTGTTTTGTGACGTGTGGATCAATACAGTACAGGACATAAATTTCTCTTAGATCTACACTACCGACACCGTATAGTGCTGCTGCCACTGGAGCTTGTGGCGGTTTTATAAACTACATAGTCGATTATAGATCTTGAGTATCTTGCCTACCAGCACACGTTTCGCCCCTATAGTTTAGTTTATTTTTATTTAGGGTAGTTAGTAGTATTAGGTAGTAGTAATAGTATGAGAAAAAATATAGTCACTCGTCCAATGTGTGTTTACTACACCCGTCCGGTAAACACCTATTTCCCAGCCTTGTAACATAAAACACTAACAGAGTATCTACTTGATGCAATTGTAATAATTATTTAATTGTATGTGTTAACAGAAGATGTTAAAAAAATTGAAGAACTAGTGTGACAGAAGAATTGTACGCTGTGAAGAAAGAAAACAGGAAAAAAGTGTTCCATTCATCCATTACTAACTGGTCTTGGTAACTAAGAAAAGCTCGTGGGTAACGTAGATTATCTCTTTTATAATGAAATTCTTCTACGCCGACCTTAGTTGGTGCTGCTGCTCGGCAGTTCTACGAACTGCTTGGCTCATCTGGTAACTACAGCATCTGGTTCGCGTTAAGACGGTGACACACTATCGATCTTTTACCCCGAACAAGACCCCGAACCGAGCAGGGAGAAGGGAGAAGGGAGGTCGAAG